CACCTTTGATCATAGGATCAAAGGTGCATAAACGCATTAGGATCAAGGGTGCTAACCCGCTCCATTTTTACAAAAATTCTTTTTTGGTCATATTAGATGCTTCTATACCTTACCAAAGCAACCATACAAGAGGTGAATAGTTAAGTTACAAAATGACATAAGCAAAATTATTCAACTTAAAAAAATATTAAAGATGTGAGGTTCCTTGTTAAAGTAAAAAAAAATACTTTTTTTCGTCAAAATCAAACATTTAGAAATAAATTTAATAGTGGTCTATTCTTTAACCAAAACACAATTAATTTTGAAGATACAATATTTATAACACGCTGGTTATTAGCCCTCTTTAATAAGTTATGTAAGTATGGAGATAACGCTATAGGATCAAGGATGCAAGTTCTCCCCTACTTGGTCTGCACTAAATTATTTAAACATTTATACCAGGGGTCGGCAACTTGCGGTTGAGGCGGCTTTTTAACTCCATGCACAAATATTAATATAATGTTGAAATAAAGATTTGGTAGATGGTTTTAAAAAAGATTTGAAATAAAGATGTTGGCAGCTCTTTAAAAATTTCTTTTTTTAAAGTGCACCAATATTTTTGTTTCAATATCATATATTTGGGCATGGAGCTTAGGAAGCGCATCTTGACATCAAAAAAACTACATGAGGCTTGCAAGCCACAGGTTGCGGACCTCTAGTATTAACGTTTAAATAGTAGAATGTAGACTATGTACTTACACAAATCTTTTTTGTTTGCACATTAGACTAAAACTTTGTAAATTGCAACTTTTGTTTCTTCTGTCTCATTTGGTTTATACATTTGTTAAATGCCTTTTTCGTTATTCTAAACTCTATTATAAATAACTTTACTCCAAAATTGAACTAGATATAAAGTTAAAGTGAGGAGGATTGGCACATTAAGTGTAGCATTAATTTGAAATATGTTTATAATTCAAACGTTTTTGTGAACCGTTTAATTTTTATTTTTTTGTTCGGAGTAAGTTTTTGTAGTTTCAAACTGAAAATATGTTCTTAAGTTAAAAGTTTAATAACTTTTTTTTAATATTTTTTACTTTTATTCACTTTTTTTCAGAGCAAACATTTGTAATTATAAATGGTTCTCTTAATAGTTTACTTTTAATCACATTTTTGTTTTAGTTGTGGTTGTTTTTTTTCCATTAATTTTATTTTTTTGAGGGAGGGGGAGGGAGTAGTATTAACAACTTACCAAAAACTTACATATAGGAGTATTAACGACTTACCAAACTTACATATAACAACTTACCAAAATATAACAAAAATTTTATTTCTTCTAAAAAAAAAATTAATAGAATTTGTTAAATTTGCTAATAACAAAAGCTTTGTTGATCACAGTGAAGCGAACTTACTACTTCAAAATCTAGTAAATCTTATTCTTAATCAAGTTCATTTATAATCTGTTTTGCTTCATTTCACAAGAAATAGTTTACCGACAACAAAAAACAAATAAACAAACAAGCAAACTGGTAAAAAATAATGAAACCTTAACACGGTTAATCAAAATAATGATATTTATATCTTTGCAGCCGTGGGCGTAGAGTACTCAAATATCCAAGGAGGAAGGGGGTGGGGGTGGTGGTGGTGGTGCAATAAGTTAAAGGTTTGATTTTTTTGATCAATGTATGTCTACTGTCCAGTGTTTATTATTTTTGATATAGAAATAAAAAAATAACAACTTTTGATTTTGGTTAACAAGAATCACGAAACTAAAGTAAAACAAGTAGAGATGTAACTTTATTTGGTTTCCGAATAAAACATTATACGGCGCGTTTTGTTGTTTTTAATAAACATATCTAACAAAAAATCCATTTTAAGACTTGGGTAATTTCTTTATGGGTATTCATTATAGAAACAGCGTTCAGTCTTTCCTAGCTCATGGTCGATCGAAGAAAAGTTTTTGGCCTACGCAGACTACTAAATGATGGTTCTGCTGTACAAGTTGTCACTGGCCGGACTAGAACTGTTTTAATTGAACGGACAATTTCCGAGGCAATGCTTTTCAATCCATTTTTTTCTTTAGTGCAGATGAAGTCTAGAACTGATTAAAAATCTTTTAATTAAACTTTTTTTTCTATTAGCCTTGCCAATGAAGAGGTCCCGGTAAAGCTCGTTCTTTGATAATTTGGAAAATTGCCTTTGTAAAAGTTTTTTATGTAGTCGATACTCTATTCAGTTTTATTTGATCCAATCACAAACTCTTCAACTGCTGTTAAATGACCAGTGGTTTCAGTTGACTCAAATCTTTCGATGAGGCTGACTAAAACTGTATTTAAACTGGAAAAATATAACTGGTTGTAAATCTCATTTTGACTGGTAATAAGTATCCCTAAAGCCAACTTTAAGGTTTGTCTAAATCCATCGTTTTAGCAGATTAAGTTACTGCATCAAAAAGTGTTTTGAAACGTGATTCAGTAGGCAAAGAGCCTTTAAAGAATTCTGTGAGCTCTGCATTGAACATAAAGGGCTCTGTTTTCTGGTTAAAGAACAAGTTTGTGTAAGCCAGCTGTTTCAGAAGACATGGCAGCAGCTCAATTGTATCATTGTTCCCAACAGTTCTCAAGCCTTGAGGTGGAACGAAGATAGACGTTTTTCATAATCAAAAACAGATCCTTGCTTTTAGTTGTAGCTGCCACATAAAATCCACAAAAATACTCATTAATTTGGAACTCATCATCCACAGTACGGAAGGATATCGATACCTATACAACTTAAAAGTTCATGAAAATTATCAAAGGAAAATACAAGGTGCAAAAAATTATTGCTTTGGCTAATAACAGAGCCGACAACACGGATTTTGAAGTAAGGGGGGGGGGGCACAATCAATTTGTGAAAAAAATGCTCCTCTATACCTTGAGAAAATTTCTTTAAAAAATCTTTTCTTAAAAAAAAAAAAAGGTCCTCTAGAAAAAACGTGCCCCCTAGCCCCCCAGAGTTGTTGGCCCTGAATAATACCAGCTCTTTTCCGGCTATTAAAAAAGTTACACACTTTTTTAACAGCTGTTATTATATAAATATGTAAACGTAGTAAAACTCTGATTTAAATTTTCTTTTAAAATTCAAAAAAGAAAGAATAAAATTCAAAACGTCGGTTGCGGACGTGTTTGAAGTCTTCCTAACTTCTTGACATGAAGTTATCGTCAAGTGAACTAACTATTACTTTGAAATTTACATAAAATAAGCATCATTACCGTAAAGACAAGTCAATCAAGATACTTTGTCTAACTGGCTTTCTTTAAAGATTTTTTATTTGATACTTTCTTTTTATTTTAATCTTAAAATTAAATAAAAAATATAAAATCTACACAAAAACAAAAACGTCGCTAAAAAAATTGCTTTAAAGCACAAGTATACGTCGTGAAAAAAATCTTTAATTGAGATCAAAAAACTATGTGAATTTTTATTTTATCAAAAAAACGTATTTTTTATAGAAAAAAACATTCCCTCGTTCGTTTGGTTTTTTTGGTGTGTTTATAGCAAAGTATTATTTATTTCTTCGCTTTTTACGAAAAAAATTTGATTTCTTCCTCTGCTTTCTTCTACTTTTAAAAAATAAAATTTGAAATTATATTTGTTTTAAAATAGGATAAAATTTCAAGGGGGGAAAACGAATTTTCAAGGGGGACAAGGCTGATTCAAGGGGTGGGGGCAGCCTACCCCCGTTGTACCCCATACTCTACGCCTATGTATGCAGCCAATGTATGCGCATAATAAAATCCACGGTTATTTATATTGAATAACCGCGTCCATCCAGGGCTTTTAAAACACAATAAAATCTGCGGGACTCAAATAAAAAATTGCAATTTATGCTTTGTTATTGGGTAGTCGGTAAAATGCAAACTGCAAACGATAAAATGCGAACTTTTTTGCGAGCCAAGACATGATATTTTAATGACCATTATAGTTATGAAATTATTAAAACATTTGCTCATTAATTTTTTCATTTAAAATAAATATAATTGAATTTGATATATTTCATTTAAATTAGGTTATATTTCTTTTAAATTAAACATAATTTATGCTTCTGCTTGAAGTCCATAATATATATAGCAGAAATGAATTTAACGGCTAATGGAAAATAAAATATGTTACATCATTAACAACAAATAGAACCATGGTTCGCAAAAAAGTTCGCATTTTACCGACTACCCAATAACAAAGATAAATCATAATTTTTTAATTGTAAACATAAAAAACTTTGCTGTTTATGTTTATAATTTGGCTGTACTACACATCCCAGAAGCCTTTGCGTTAGCAATTACCATAGTCATAATACCAGAATAATGTATATTATGACTATGCAATTACCACTGGTTCGAGATCAAGTTTTCGACTTACCGGAAATAAACTGTATTTTGAAGACCCGGAAAAACCGATACAAGATAAATATCCGGCACTTTTATATTACGGCTACTACCAAGTACTGACAAAGTATCCGGGTACTGACAGGTACTCGGATACTCTGTTCTGGCAGTTTTCCTGAGTGCCTGAAATTAAAAAAATAATAATAATAATAACAAATACATAATTGTAAAATCCTTTTCTTTTAATGGTCTAGGTTAGTTACTATTACTCTAATAAAAAGTTACAGGAAAGATAGCGGGAAGTAGCGTTACCAATAAGCAATGTTTCTCTTAGCAATGTTTTATTACTAGCAGTGATAATTGTTTTACTTGAACGATTATTATTTTTTTAATAAAAAAAACATTCATGCGTAAAATAAAAAAATTCAGAAATATTGAAAATTATAAAAAACATAAACAATATAGGTTTTCCCTACCCTTTATTTCTCCTTTTTTTTTTCTATAACCTTACTTTAAAAAGCTTTTGTTTAAATGGACTATATTAGGTTGTCGGGGTGGGATGTCGGTGAGGGCGTAGGAGGGAAGAAGCCCCTCATGACACTCCTGTTGCTAATTTTTTTAAATATTTCTTCAACTTAAATTTATTCTTCGCTATACATTTTTTATTAATATTTTTAATTTCAATTTTTAAAATTACTAACAACTTAATTTTAGCGTCGGAACATGAGACACCGGACATCTAATGTTCAAAAGATATAGACATTTTAGGTTATGCTTTTAGTCTAAGAAATTTTAGATTAAGAAATTGCTCAACGGTAGCAATCATTACATAAATTAAATGAATGTTCAAGGCTAATATATTATAGATTTATAACTATATATTCTATATTCATAATATATTCAGATCCTACAATCGAAAACAATCAAAGGAAATAAAGTTTCAAGAAAATGACGTCGTGGAAACCAAGAGGTTCAAAATGAATTTAATTTTAACAGAAAAAATTTCATAATATTTTATATGCTGTTGTATTAATATCTTTGTAAACTTATAGATGTTTTTATATTGTCAAATTTATATATCATGAAATTACTTTTTAAAAGTATAGGGAATACTTCAATATAAGTTAAACTTTAGTTATACATATCATTAATTATATATATATATATTGAATGTTGGTGACTATCAATTTTGTGATTATTGAAGAATATAATTAAGATGAAAAATACTTGTTTTACTATAAAACAAAATTTTATTAAGTTTTTTACTGTACTTTATACAATCTGAGGTTAGGGATGTAAGTGGTGTAATTAGTTTTAAAATAGCTGTAAAACTTTATAAGAAATAACTTATTAAGATTTTAATTATTTTTCAATATGTAGATTATTAATATTCAAATTTCATTGTTTATTTTCTAATTTTTTGAATTTAAGTATTTTTATGTGCTGTATTTTAGAATAAATACTAATTTGTTATGACAATAACAGTTGCAAACTATCACCAGATTATTTAAGTTATGTCTATAGCTATTACATTGTGCTAAAACAAGTGGAGGACTACATCACACTGTCTATGAATAAGAATGGGTAATTCAGATAAGTCATGAGCTCTACATATTGGTGGTTGCTGAAATTAAAAAATAGCTGGTTTTGTTGTGGCAGCTGTTTGGAGCTGGTTTTGTTGTGGCAGGAAATTTATGCCTTTGCCATTTCTAAATATGGGGCATCGACATCATACTTAAATAATTGTTAGGCTTTAGTTAGAATACACCTTCTTCTATTACTCTAGTGTAATAGAAAAAGGTGTTAAAAAAAAGTAATGAAAAAAAAAGTATGAAGGCCTTTCCTTCTTCAGAATGACAATTCAGATGATTTTATTTCATTTCAGCAAATTATGCATTCTGGAGCATACAGTGGAGCAAACAATGATTAAGTATGATATGTTAAATAGCAATAAATATGAGCAGTTAATTATTTATTTTTTATTTATTTTTATTTTAAATGTCTTCGCTTCCAACAAGGCTGCAAGCAACCACTAATTATAGTTGAAAGTTACTGGAAGAGAAAAAACAAAGATTGTAGAGCAAGATAACGATTGACAGACAACTTAAAAGATTGCAAATTATATGAATCAGGAAAACAAAATGAAGAAAGCAAATTCTAAAGAACTAATGTTTGAGGAAAAAAACGAGAGAAATAAGAGTTTTTGGAGCATTTAGGAACAGTCACAGAAAAAAGGATGAGACTTAATTAAATGAGGAGTAACACAAGAATGAATTTTAGAAGATAGCACAAGAGACGCTAGCTCTTTAAAGCAGTGCCCATTATAATATTTGTAGAAAAGAAAAAAAGAAGCAATATTATGACAATGTGATAATGGTTGAAGGTTGGCTGCAAGAACAGGTCCAACTATGTTTACAATGCGTTTTTGCACCTTGTCTAAAAAAGAAAAGGCATCATTAGAAAATCCGCCTCATATATGGCAACAATATTCCATACAAGGCCGGATTTAAGATTTATAGAGATAGAAAATAGAATCCAGAGTAAGAAAGTGTTGAGCTCAATAAAAAGATGCAACTTTAGCAGATGTTCTTTTGCAACCGATTTGATATATGGTTTCCAAAAAAGATCGGAAGAGTTAATCCTAGAAGATGAAGGGTAGATGAGTCATCGAGTGCATTACCATTCATAAATATTGGAAGGTCTAAATTATTGGGATAAAGATTGGCTGAAAAAAATTGAGTTTTATTTGAATTAAAGAAGATCGAAATCCATATTGATGATCAGAAAATAAGTTATTAGATTTAAGATGAGAGATTAAGTGTTTGTTAATTAAAGATTCAAAATCTTTGCTTATGATAGGAAGAAGACTAATGGGACAAAGTTAGACGAATCAGATCGCTCTTCAGAATTTTTAAAAATAGGGATAACAGATGCTGCTTTCTAGCAGGCTGGAAAACAAGACTCTGATAAGCACTTGTTGAATAGTTTTGAAAGGATAGATGACAGCTCCAAAGAACACTTCTGCAAGACTATAACAGGTATGTTGTCCGGGCCACAAACTGAAGAAGAGTCTAAGCAGGAAATCACTTTAGATACAGAACCTGGAGTGATACAAATGTCAAGCAATCGATCAACCTGTTTAATGGCTATATCAGGTAGAACGCAACTAGTGGAATCAAGAGATGATATTGATAAAAAGTTCTTAACAAATAATTCAGCTTTGTCTTCAGAGAGGTGGAATTACAGATTTGCCTTTATTATTGATACTATTAAAGATTCTCCAGAAGTCACAAGAGCCTAATTTTTGTGATGAAACACGAGATTTCATGATCTGAGAATAGCGGGCTTTGGCATTAGACAAAACCTTTTTACAATGGTTTCTAGAAGTAATAAACAGACGTCTGTTTTCTGGAGTATTGTTTTGCTTATAGATATAGAAGTAATGGTTTCGATTGGCAATTGCAGCAGCACAATGTGAGGAAAACCATGGCGAAGAGCGAGGCTTAAACTAGAATCGTTGAGGTGGAATAAAGGATTCCATGCCAGCCTGAATCCACAAAGTTATGTAAAAACCACATTTCCTAACAGGAAGACAAAAGATTTCTACCTAAGGGCCATCACGAAGAAATTTACGGAAAGAGTCCCAGTCAGCTTCAAGGTAGTTGTAAGATGTACCATGATAGGGGGATTCTAATGATAAAGAAGAATAAGATAATAGTTTTAGAGAAGTGAAACTGCGATCAGAGGCACCTAAGGGTAAATGTAGAGAAACTGAGCACTGACTAGGATCAGAAACAAGACATAAGTCGAGTAGAGAAGGTAAATGTTTCAGGTTGTCTGAAAAGCGAGTTGGAAAGTTGACTATTTGAGTTGAGGGATTGAGAAAGGCAAAAGTTGTGGGCCTTAATGCCTGCAGAGTCACTGACACTAGAGCTAAGCCATTCAGTATGATGAGCATTAAAGTCACTGACAACATCAATGTTGGCTTATGGATAAAGAGAGAGGGCTTGGTCAATATGATCAGAAATAACATCAGCTAGAGTGTAGTCTTGAGATGAAGGAGAGTGATATAGAACAAAGAGAAAGGCGATAGAGTGAAGTGGTGCTAAACAAAAGCACATAAAAGATTAGTCTGGATTCAAACCTAGTTTCTCGACAAAGGGGTGAATTCTTATGTAATTACAAATGTAAATGCCTAGGCCAAGCATGTGACTATTGGAGTCTTTACAAATTAAAGGAAGATAACCATCAACACTAAGATCATAAGATGAGACAGCTGAACTCAAATTAGTCTCACAATGAGCAAGTAGGTCTGGTGAACTTTGCAAGATATAAGACTTAACAGAAAAAAAGTTACTTCAAAGACTACGAATATTAGTGAATGATAGATTTAGCGAACTTGGTGATGACAGTAGTTTTTTGTATTTTATAGTTTTTGTTACTTTATTTATTTTTAAATTTGTTAAAAAACTTGACTCGAAGCATAGATAATACTCAGTACAGTGTTTAATAGCCCAAGCAATTGCCTCATTACTATTAATAAAGCTGTAACAAAGGTCTCCAATGTGGCCTTGGCAATGCACACCAAAGAGTAACAAACAGGGACACCATCCATGCACAATATGGCACTGTTAATACTTTTATATTTCTCAGTTGTTGATGAAATTAGTCTCTCTGAGAGCTACCACAGAGTTTGGGAAACCTGACTACAGCCCGCCTCAGAACCATAAAACTGATTTTTGGAGCTGTACTCTCATTAAGTAGTAAGTGACCGGGTCCCCGGCCCCGGCTAAAAACAGAGGTTTTTGCAAACCCGGCCCCGGCTAAACAAACACAATTTGCAGGGGTTACTAGCCGGGGCTGGATTTTTGTTGTTGTTGTTTTTGTTGCTTTTTTTTTAAATTTTGTCAAGTTAAAATTTTTTGTGAAAGTTTAAGGAAATATAAGAAAAAGTCACAAAAATAATATATACAAATATAATATAATTCATAAATATTTACAATGACAAATAAGAAATAAGACACTTTATAATAATTTAAGTTTCTTCCTCTGATTCTGATGATTCTGTGTCCCAGACATCATAGTATTTTGAATTAGGTGGTGTAAAGTCTTCAGGGGCATCACATAAATATGTTGAATAAGAAAGAGCCCTTAAATTGTATTTATAAAAAAGAAGTGTTTCAACATTCTGTGCATCAAGTCTGATGCGATCTTTTTGTATTAACTTTGAAACCTTGAACTCCCTCTCACTGTTGAGCTTGAGGGTGAACATAAATATACTTTTGCCAAGTTTGCTAGCGTTGGCAACTCGAGCTTCATGAGACTCCAATCTAATAATGGATCTTCTGAAATATCTATTCGTTTTTTCTTATTATTCTTTACATTTAAATACTTGAATAGCTCAACTATGTAATTCTAATCATTAAAATTACAATTAAAAAGTTACCTACATTTTAAATGTAAATGCAAATTTATAATAAATTTATCTTACGAAATTTATTTTAGGATATTTTAAACACCCTGATTGTTAGCAATGTTTAAATATTTCTTCAAATTATTAACTTTGTTTAAAAATTTCAAATAATCAATTTATTACATGATGGCCACTGACTTTTCTAGAATATCCAGGTTGCTGGCTTGTTTGTTCTTTCATCCGGAAAGAACAAAGTAGATCAGATGGATATATGATGTCTTTAAAAGATAGGAAAAAAAAGCAATAATCTTAGAGATAGTATGAGAGTAGTAATTATATTTATAATGTGTATCAGAGAAGATGATAATGATGCCAATGATTAAGATGATAATGATGATGATCATTGTCATCATCATTAGAATCATCATGATATGTATACCTTTATGTATAATATATCATGAATTTTAAATAACAATAATATATTTATAAGGAATATCAATATTAATGCAGCCCCGGTCACAAACCCGGCCCCGGCCCTGGCTATGTTTTATCAAACCCGGCCCCGGTCAAATATCAACCCCGGTCGCTTACTATCATTAAGAGATAATATAATTAGTTGCCTAGTCATAAAAACAGAGACACAAGCAAAACACATGCATAGAGTCAAGAAGATCCAGAATCAAAAAACATCCTAAACTGGAAATAATGTATTAAAAATAATCTGTGCTAGCCTAATAGATAAAGAAGGAGTGTGAGGCTGGTCAACAGATAGAATCTGTTTACCCCTAAAGTCTTTGCCTAGGAGGTCTTCTACAAGACAGCAGCTGGATGCATTTAACATCTGCCCATGATGAGTATTTTTATCGAGACACCATCTCTAGCCTTTACTTAACCAAGAGCCCCAAGGCAGGGGATATTTTATGTTGGAGTTGGCATCTGCTAGCCTTTGCCTAAAAAGGTGTATCCTACAAGGCAGCAGACATGAAGCAGATTGTACTGGGTTACATGTTACCAGTAGCAGGATAACCTGACCTACTCAAAAGAAATGATTGGCTTATATTTATTGCTAACATTTCTTTGATGAGAAAATCTCTATATTAAGTTGAGTTGAATAAAGCAATTTGTGAAGGCTCTAGACATAAACAGAGAAAGAGGTTTTAGCTATTGTAAACAATGGAAATATTGTTTAGCTATTGTAAACAATGGAAATATTGTTTAGCTATTGTAAACAATGGAAATATTGTTTAGCTATTGTAAACAATGGAAATATTGTTTAGCTATTGTAAACAATGGAAATATTGTTTAGCTATTGTAAACAATGGAAATATTGTTTAGCTATTGTAAACAATGGAAATATTGTTTAGTTATTGTAAACAATGGAAATATTGTGAGCTATGTTTTTAAGGTTTAAAATAGGTGCAGTCACTTTTGGAAATAAAAAGAAATGAAATGTTGTGAACTATATCACACTACAACTAGTGCAGTAAGAAACAATAGAACTGAGAACTTTCAGGATATAGTAGCAGAACTATTAAACAAGTTACTAAGTAATTAAATGTAGTTTTAAATTCATAAAAGCAATTCACTACTGGGTTGTACCCTACCATTACCTCATGAATCTCCATAGGGTGATAATAACGACTATCTTTGGAATTTGTTTTGGTAATAACAATTTTAAACACAAGAGAATGAGTCATTTATTATGTTAGACAGTAAGTCCTTATAGGTTTATTATGCTAGTCCTTATAGATAACATCGCAGGAAACATTTTGTTCATTTGTAATTCACTCTTTTTGTTTTTTATAACAATTGCATCAAAAATAGTTTCATCATCATCAATTTGCTTGTTTCTTGTTTATTAATTTTCTATAATGAATATTTTTATTCTTATCTTTAATGTGAATTATTTTGAAGATATTTGATATGTCTAAAACTGTTTACAGCCTGTTCAAACCTTGATATGAGTCCTACCGAAGTTGGGTTGTGAGATAACCAACATTTTGGGGGCAGCTTTAAAACATTTTACTGATTTCAAGGTGCCAATACTTGAAGCGCTGCATACAATAATTAAAATAATAATTTCACTATAAATTTACTGTTTTTTTTTTGCATGATTCATGTAAATATGATATAATTGTGTGATGTAAGTTGCGAGAAAGTTTTATGAGACATAAATTATTTTAAAAATTAAAAAAAAAAAACATTTTTATAAAAAACTTGTATATTTCTATTTCTAAAAGTTGGTTTTATGTAGTTGTAAATATGTTAAGCAAAAGTTGTGCATTTAGGTTTTTTTTGTAAAAAAAAAAACATTTTTTTCTGTAAATAAATAAATTTGCTTAAATTTACATTTAATAAAAGTTTTGTTTTTATAATAATATTTATAAGAAATAAAGTTGTAATTAGCTCCTGATTTGTTTTGCACACTGCAAATAAGGAATTCTCTATTATTAAGTTAAAATACAGAGTTGATAAAAATTTTTTAAAAAGGATATTTTGTATATTTAAGTAATAACTTAAGCTCTTTAAAATATTTTCAGAGCATATTATTGGTTGACCTTAAAAGAACATTAATACTTAAACAAAAGATTTTTAAAGCTAAAATAAGTTTTTCTTTTCTTTTTTCTTTTATTAGGTATCTTTTAGAACAAAATATAAATATTTTATATTTGGTTGGCAATATATCACAAGGTAGATGTGATTTAAAAAATATTTAACAAAATATAAATGAAAATTTAAAATTTTGTTCCTTTAAAGGTACATCTTCTTATCACAAGCTTCCTAATGATGAAAATATTTTACACGATGAAAATGACAGAATGGTTTCAAATCTATCCACAAAGATATCTACGTTAAAAAATGTAAGCTTTAAATATTTACTTTTTTTGTTTTATAAACTTATTCATTTTATATTAAAGATATAACTTGTGATATTTTATCTTATTTTATAACTTGTGTTCCCAATTTTTGTATTATTTTTCACAATTGTTGTTGATTTTATATTACAGATTTTTTCTAAAAAAACTTTTTTCTGGAATCTAAAATTTGACAGCTCTTTTTTTTCTAAATTATAATTAAACAAATGCAATTATCTTGCATCAGTATATGTGATAGGTTGAGAGTTGTTGACATGAAGATAGAAAATATTGTTAATTTGTGTGTGCATAAATTTATCTGTGGTTTTTTTAAGTTATTTAAAAAATAATAGCTTAGCTTTCAAAAAAAAGGTTCAGCTGTTTTGTGTTTATAACTTATGTAGCTGTGAAATAGCATTTTATAGTGTTATTTCACACTTTTTAGTGCTACTTCATCATATCAAACTTTATGAGCAAATACTAAATAGCAAAAAAAAAAAAAAAATGTAAATTCAGGCCTTGTTATAAAATTTTGTTGCATAACACTAAAGCGTAATGTGAGTAAATATAACTTTAATCAAGATATTAACAGTGTTAAAAGTTTAATTATGTCAGTTACATATTTTAAAGTACTGGGCTGTATTTAAATTTAATTTGAAAATGGTCTTTATCTTTATTTTACCACATAAAAAATGGTCTTTATCTTCATAAAATATTTTTAAATTAAACAATAGTGTTATAAAAATAATTATAAATAAAATGTAAATATGTTTTTTGAAAAAAAATTCCTTATTTTAAAAATCTTATACTTATTTAAACTTATTTTTTTTTTTTCAAGCATTAATTTTTTTTTTTTAATGAGGGGGCAGTTGTTCATGTTTGCATTTCTTAAAGGGATTCTCAAGTGATAAAACAAGTTATTTTTATTTTGTAAATAAACATTAGAATTTGAGTTTATTAAAATTACCAAAACAATTTATTGAGGTATTAACAAAAACATTTGTTGTTTTGCAATTATACTTCAGGTTGAGAGTAATATTAACTTCATGAATCTGCATAGTTTTTTCCGTTGTTAAAATATATTTACCACAGAGTATTAGTAATACTATTGTTAAAAAGTTAAAACTTTTAGGTTAGAGGAACAGTCACTTTTTGAACCCGTAGTCCTTAGGTATAATGGTGGCAAGAACTCCGGGATTCTAGGGCTACAGGCTTATACTATTACAATATGTTTTAAGTCATTAAATTTCCTGAGTTTCTTTTATATAGCAGGTCATAAGTCAACCAACATATTCAGAGCTTCTGGAAACCAGAGACCAGGAAAAAAAAGAGACATAAAGCCAGAGTCCTTTTGGGACTCTGCATCCCTGGTATTTTTGGTTTTAAGATGTATGTATCTTATATTTATGGCTCTAATTAGTTTTGTTTTTAAATTAAAATAAATATAAGTTGGGCTTTTAAAATGTTTACTTATTGATCTTGTTATTTTTATTCAGTTATAAAAGTTTGGTTTGTTTTATTAAATATATAAAGACTTCTTCTATATAAAAATTAACTGCAAAGGGAAAACTTATATAACTTTAGTTTAAGTATTTGAAACAACTTTTTGTATTGGTGTCATTTATCAACTACAAAAGTGCATTAATCAGACCGTATTTAAAAAACAAAAAAAAAAAACAGAGCCAGATTTTATGATATCAATCCAACTTGTCTTGGCACTTGGGGGTCACTTCAAAAATAATTAAAAAAATAAAGAAATAAATTCAATAAATCAAGGCTAGAAAATAAATTAAAGGTCATCAAGGTCAAAAAATCAATAAAATTATAAACATTATAACATTTTGGCTTTAACAAAATCTTCGCATACTACTCAAAAACTAGATAATCATTTCTAATCCACGTTCATTCTATTATCAATTCAAAAAATTAATGATCAAGAAAATACTTTTGTTAAGAAGCAAATTTAAAACTGAAAAATCTCCTTTTTACAAATTTGTTATATTAAGTTTACAAAAAAATTCTAAAAAATATTTAAAAAGAATCTAATAATTTTGTCTACAGACTTGTTTATGGTTTATCTGGCAATGCATATACAGTTATAAGTGTATTAAACACTTTGGTATATTAGCACTTTCGTAACAGAATGAAAAAAAAAATTATTATTTTTTTGATAAATGAATAAATAAAATAGTTACACACCTGCCTGCAACCACTTTTTAGTTTTGCGATTTGACCCCGGCCATTGTCATACATTGTTGGATTCGTTACAATGAGTAGATTTAGGTTTGATATGTCACCAAAATTATAAAATTCTTTTTAGCAAAATATTTACGTTTTAGGGGCCAAAAGGGCCCAATTTAGAAAATTTTTCCCAAATTCGTGGATTTTTGAATTATTATTTTTTAAATAAATTTATATAACAAATTTATTAATTTTTCAAAAATTATAGCCATTTAAGAAAATGAGTGAAATAGAATATATTTTTTGGATATGACTGTCATAAATATGTCATTTGTAAAATAAAAATATATTAAATATATATACAAACCATGCACATTAACTAATGTTTTATATTATTAAGATTCTGTCTATTAATAAACTTAACATATTTTTGGGTAACATATTATCATAAAAAAGTTATATTTAAGTAAAGTTAAAACATAAATATATTTTTAGGAGCATTTGCAATAATTAAAAGGTTTTTTACGTTAAAACTGATAACAGCTTTTTTTTAAATGTTCAGAAAAGGAACTGTTAATTTTGGAAACTTTTAGTCTATTCCAAGATTCATTAACAAAGCTGTAATGAATTGCTTCAACAGCTTGTTCAGAGTAGCAGCCTAATCCACGCTCTCTTACTGCACAAAAAGCACCTATATGCTTTATAATAAAATAAATTTTCAATGAAACAGTTATTCCATAGTCTTTAACAAGTGTTCTGTAGTGATCTTCAAAGTTTTTAATATGTGTTTGAAAATCATTATGAAGTTTTTGTCCAAAACAAGACTCAACCAAATTGTTTAAAATTCTAAGCCCCTCTGCCAATGGCTTTAAATTAATTGGCAATGCACACATGTACTTATCATAATTTTTAGGGATTTTACGGGAGGCGTTGCCATTAAAGGCATTATTCTGGACCTCTTTTGAAATGTTTAAAATCATTGATACTTTAGCCATTTCGTTTTCACCACCACATTTCTCTATATGATTATAAATATGATTAACAGCTCCCTCCATTAGGTGTAACTCTGACGGGAAAATATAATCTGCCACTAAGTGGTCGCTGGTTTCTGCGTGTATCAATGGAGGATTAATAAAGTTGCAAAATTCTTTAGCATTTTGTTTTATTGCACCTGATTGAGAAAATTTTGTGTACTGTTCCTCTAAAGAACTAAAAGTTCTAAGCTTCTCTTCTTTAAATGGTTGCATTCGTTTCCAATCGCATATATGGCACGGTTGTGTAGCCATAGCACTTGGAGATAAACCACACATTTGACAAAGCTTAAGATCAGCTAAAAATGAGTGTTTTATTTTATCTAAATTAAGACAGTTCATTAATATAGAAACATTGTAGTGACTTTCAGGAACATTCGGAACTAAAGCTAGTAAAAAAGAAGCTTTTACAGAACCTTCTTTATATTTTGAATTCTGAGGTTCTTTATATGTACTCATTGTAGTTTTGTCTTCATGATTGTTTTTGTCAAGTTCTAAACCTTCGCTCTTACAATCTGACAGTAGGTTTAAACAAATCTAAAATAAGAAATTTTTTATTTTTACAAAATGTTGTACCATTTTTTTTTAGTTTTGACTGAATCATAATTCTCATCAACATATTTAGAATGAAATTATTTACCTTTAAAAAGCCTCTTCCTCCATCAATACAGAGCTTGACTGTTTGATTGCTTAAGCTCACTTCTTTCATTGCAATTAGCAAATTTACAAACTCCTCAATATTGATGCACTTAATAATAGGGATATTTTCCCTTACTTTTAAATTCCCTTTTTTAACATCAAATTCTTGATAATCAATTATAAATAAATCTTCAAGTGCACCATCAATTGCCGGATGTGCTGTTTGTAGGTTTGCTTGTATGCAAGTTTTCCTTTTAATTGATGTTCTAATAAAAAAAAAACATACATTTAGGCTAACTAAATTCCTTAAAAAGAGTAAGATATACTTCAAATCGTTCTTACCTGAGTTCTTTTGCTAGTTGTATTAGTTTCTAGTTGGACAAAGAAAGTCTTGATTGAATCCTTAATAAATCAATCAAGGTGATCTGTTTAGGTTTATTTTTTAAAGTTCCTACTGATATTTGTAAAGGTTTTGCACCTGCAGCAAGTTTAATTCTTTTTAATCCATGTTCATATGATTTTTCTGAGATAACTTGAGAAGCAAGGTGATCCTTAACTTTAGCTGAGGCTTGAAGTTTTTCTAATACTTTTACAGCTAACATTTTATTTCCACATTTGTGCTTCTTTCCCTTCCCAATAATTGAAAGACAAGATTTACATATTTTTTTATGGGGTGCCTGCAACTTGGAAAACTTACTATTTCTTCTTGTAACTACAACTTGGAAAACTTACTATTTCTTCCACGTAAACTGGTTAGTTTGCATATTTTACAGTAACCACTAGTAGAGTTTCTGGTTAAAGGTGTAACAACGTTTTTAGTCCAGTCTATCACTAAATCTGGCAAGTAGTTTTTTCTACGTATATTATTTCTACATTTATCTTATATGCCGAGTGGATTTTTTGTATCAGTGCAATCTTAATCAAAAGTGGACACTTTCTCTTTTATTGCTTGCTTGTTTAATAATCTTAATTTTTTAATCTTTATATATATATATATATATATATATATATATATATATATATATATATATATATATATATATATATATATATATATATATATATATATATATACAGTGGTTTTCATAAATTTAGACGCACTCATATTTGAGAATAGAAAATTTTAGTTTTTTAACGATAAAACAATGACGAAAAAAAATTTCGGTTTAGTTTTTTTTCTATTTATCAGATAAATACATACAGAATACAAAATTTAAAAAAAGTTTACAAAAAAAATGAAATACTAAGTAATAATTAGGTACAACTACATGGTATTAAAAAAATTAGACAAAAAAAATTATTCATAAATTTAGACGCACGATACATTAGAAGGCGTAATTTATGAACCAATCAATATTTTGTGTATCCGCCTTTTGCTTTAATACAACTAAGAACTCTTCTAGGCATAGACTCAACAAGATTTTTGCACATCGCTTCTGGGACCCCATACCAGGTCTCCTTAAGGAATTCCTTCAGCTGACCAAGTGTGGAAATTTGAACCTTTGCTAATTCACGATCAATCCAAGCCCAAATGTTTTCAATTGGGTTCAAATCAGGTGAATATGGAGGCCACGGTATTGTCATAATATTATTATCGTTGAACCACTCCTTTGTATAGTATGCAGTATGTGCAGTAGCGCTATCTTGTTGAAGTTTCCATGGTTTATCATTGAGCATAAGCAGGTCAATTGATGGAATTAGGTTGTTTTCCAGTACTTCTACGTATATTCTGGAGTTGATTCTTCCGGTGTATGTTTGGCACATACCAACACCTTTGTAATTGAAGCATGACCAGATTCCTATCGAGCCTCCTCCACTTTGTACAGTTGGTCTAATGTACCTGGCGTAATACTTTTCGTGAGCCATTCTTTTGACTGTTATGTTAGATTTGCGATTGATAAGCTCAAAGTTACTCTCATCACTCCACAAAATGTTTTCCAATTGATCTATTGTCCATTACCTTCTTTCACGACACCATTTTAGTCTCCTTTGTTTATCATATGGACGCAGAAGCGGTTTCTTCAAAGCAGTGTAGACTCCAATCTTGTATTTGATAAGTATTCGGCGGACTGTGCTTTGAGAAATAGATGTATTTCGCGTTGTAATGAATTCTGTGGTCAATTCTTTGTAACTAATTCTTGGATTAGCTCTGACAGCTCTAAAAAGAACACTATCGTCCTTTCTCGTGGTTGACAAGAGTCTACCTGGCCTCGTTTTCTCGCTGGCACCACCAGTGTGAAGAAAGTTTTGTTTCGTTGTCTGAACGCATTTCTCAGAAACTCCAATTAACTTGGCGATTTCTCTATTACTTTTGGTTCCTTCTTTGATGTGCACAATAATTTTCCATCTTTCACCTTGAGTGATACGTCTTTTGCCCATTTTTTACGTTTTTTTAGTGCAAAACTAGCTTAACTTTTGTTTATTTATTAAATAATGATTAAATAATTCCAGGTAAGTCATATTTATATAAGGTTTTTTGACAAAATCAATTAATTTAGGCCTATTAATGAGAAATATAAGAAAAAAACTACTAATTAACTATCAATTAACAAGATATAAGACTTTTTTAATTGTGCGTCTAAATTTATGAACAAAATAAAATCAAGTTTATCAATTAACTTTTTTGTATTAATCGGTATAAAATGAGTAATAAACATCCTGTAAAAAAATTAAGGTACTCTATAATAGAGTTTCATTTCCTCTTGTAAATTATATATCAAACATAGCGGTAGTACTTTTATTTTATTTTTATTTTGAGTATTTTCTTACATATATAAAAAAAAAATGAATGCGTCTAAATTTATGAAAGCTACTGTATATATATATATATATATATATATATATATATATATATATATATATATATATATATATATATATATATATATATATATATATATATATATATAAATTATCATGAAAATATCAAATTTTCATGTTAATTTTTTTCCCCCCTGAGTTTTGTGGAGAAATTCCAAAATTGGGGCCCTTTTAGCCCTAAAACGTAAATATTTTGCTAAAAGGAATTTTATGATTTCGGTGACATATCAAACCTAATTCTGCTCATTGTAACAAATCCAATGATGTATGACAATGGCCGGGGTCAAATCGCAAAACTAAAAAGTGGTTGCAGGCAGGTGTGGTTAAATGTAATATGAACTTTTCAAAATAACTTAAATTAATTTTTTTTTTTAATTTTCTTTTTTTAACAAAATGGAGCGTTTTAAAAAATTTTTTAAAAAGAATTAGAATTAAATTTAATAAAATAAATTTATATTTATTAATATTTAATAATAAACTTAACTTAAATATAAAAGAATAAATTTTAAATTGAAAAAAAAAAAGCAAAATAAAAAATTTTTCACAAATTTTTTTTAAAACAACTAATTAGTGCTTAATGTTTTTGCATAAAGTATTTTAAAAGACTGTTTAAATAATAATTTAATTGAAAAAAGTCTTAGAGTAATATAAATAGCTTAAGGCGCAGATGAAATTGCCATTTTATATGCAAAATTCAAATGGAGTAACACTTCTTAACAAGGCCTGTAACTTCATTTTTTACATTATAACTTTAAACACATGTACCTCTCTAATTAATAGTAAATGAGTGCGAGAGTGGAAAATCGCTATCCTAAAACAAAAATGGTGAGCCTTGCCAGCTGCTCCTCTAAACAGCTTTTTACAAGATCTTTCAGTTTTTGTGCAAGCTATCTGTTTATTAATAAAAAAATTATTTTTTAAATACAAAATTTGATTTTATACTCTTTACAAGTATATGCTTGTAACGTTCATGTTACAAAAATATATACATAACAAGAGTTGTTAATCGCACTGTGAATTTTTTTTTTAGATTTGCGTTTTCCTTGGGTTTTCACACAAGTTATTCATTTAATTATTAACAACTTATTTGATAAAAAAATTGACAAATAAAGAGCTATAAAAGCCTTTACTGCTTATTAACAATATTTTATATTATCTTGAAATCAGGAAGATTTCAGGAAAATATAAAATATTCTTAATAAGCAAAAAAATAAAATAAAAAATAAACAATTGCATTTTGGAAGCAAAAAAGTAAATTTGAAATTTGAATTTTAGCTTTTTTGTTTGATGTAGTTAGCACAAGAATTGTTAATTTTTCTTTTCAGTATCTAAAAATAGAGAAGAAAAGAAAGTTTTATACTTATGGAACAATTATACTTTTGTAAGAATTGTAGCTCAGCAAGGAGCTCCTAGTAACTCCTAGTAGTTTCTTGCCGAGCTGCTCCTTGGCAAAGAGTTGTACTTTGGCAAGAAGCAAAAGCTAATGCTCTCACTTTCTGCCTGATGAAGTATTTAAAATTATTTAAAGTTTGTTAATAAATAGATAAATCTATTTAAAATTAAAATTTTACTAAATTGGTTGAACCATACTTATGTACATCTCAATCCTTGTCCCTATACTTTTTTTAATTTACATGAACGATCTTCCAGAAATTTTTACATGTAAGGTGGCATTGTTCGCTGATGATGCTACCATTTTCTCTTGTCTTGATAAGATGCTAACACTTTCTGATTGCTTGGAGGGGACATTTGAGCTCGGAAAAGATCTCATTTCTACTACAGCATGGGGCTCCTTGATAAAACTCAATTTTTTTCAGCTAATCGTTATCGCAATAGTCTAGATCTTCCTATTTTTATGAATGACAATATACTTGATGAGCCATCTGCCCTTCATTTTCTAGGACTAACTCTGAAGATCTTTCTTAGAAGCCAAAAATCAAATTGTTTGCAAAATTAAAATCTGCTAAGGTTTCATCTTTTTATCGTGCTTGCCACTTTTTTACTCAGGATTCTATCCTTTATCTCTGTAAATGTCAAATCCTTTCTTCGATTACTGTTGCCATATGGAATACTGTTGCCATATCAAGGGCGTACCTTTCAATGATGCACTTTCTCTTTTAGACAAGGTGCAAAAACGCATTGTAAACATAGTTTGACCTGCTCTAGAAGCCAACCTCCACCATTATCACATTGTCGTAATGTTGCTTCTCTTTTTCTTTTATATAAATTATGGGCACTGTTCTAAAGAGCTAGCATCTCTTGTGCCATCTACTAAAATTCATTCTTACTCAATATTTAATTAAGTCACTGTGACTGTTCCTAAGTGCTCCAAAAATTCTTATTAGACTAGTTTTTTGCCTTGAACATCAGTCCATTGGAATTTGCTTCATCTTGTTTTCTTGATAAATATAACTTGCAAATTTTTAAGTTGTCTGTTAATCATTATCTTGTTCTATAAATTTCATCTTTCTTTTTCCAGTAACTTTCAACTCTAATAGTGGTTGCTTGCAGCCTTGCAGCCTTGTCACTAATTACTTACTGCACTGTAAAACTTTTCAGTTATTCACTCTTAGCAAATGAGCATAACAGCAAGATGTTGTCAAAAAGTTGTATATTGTAAAAGTTGTGTTTTAATCACAATTGCAGTTAAAACACAAATTGAAAATAATGTATAGCATTAAAAATGTATTAAAATGGTATATAGAGTTTTTGAAAATAGTATGATTTTAAGCAAAATATTTTTCTGTAATGGTCATGCATGTGAATTTTTAATTTTTCATGCCTGCCAAATTTTTTTTTTGATATCAAATACATGACTTTCTTCTTGTCTTATTGTAGATAGCAATTGAAATTGACAAAGAAGCAAAATATCAAAATGAGTTTGTTGGAGGAATGGTATGTGTGTTAATTACTTGACAATGAAATATTAATCATTACAATCTATATAATAAACAATAAAAATTTATCTTTTAAATATTTATGCTTAGGATTGTTTTTGTTTTCAGTTTTTTAATTCTAATTCACACCCAGCCACGCAATGCGACCACTGTTAATTTAGGAGTTACTAAAAAACGAAGGATAGAGTTAAAGAGCATGAAATTAATTTTTAGAAGACTTGTAAGTTGTATGTTGTATGACTTGTAAGTTGTAAGTTGTATGAGTCAAAGGGTTTAAGAGCAGGAAAAAAATAAATTAAAAAATAGTTTTTGAGCATTCAGGGACACATACACTAAAAAGATACTTTGCATACAAGTGAAGTAAGAATGAGTTTTGATGAAACAAGAGTTGATAGCTCCTTTGAGCAATGACCATTATAGTATTTTCAGAAAAGATGCAACTTAATGACGATGGGATAGAGGTTCAAGCTTGGCTGATACAGCGGGTTCAACAACACTTACAATTCAAATTTGGACCTTGTCTAAAAAAGAAAGAGCATCATTAGAAGAACTAGCCCAAATATGACAAAAAGAAAAGTAACCTTAGCAGGTGCTAACTTTGAATTCGTTTGTATATATAGTTTCCATTAGTGGTCAGTATTCAACAATAATCCAAAATGGTGTTAAGAACAGAACTTGAGTAAGAGGGTTGCCATTTATTAATATAGAAATGTAGAAAGTATTGCAGTAGTTGTTTGCAGTAAATAACTGAATTAAGTTTGCTATTACAGAAGTAAGATCAGATTCAAGATCTGTCTGTTTAAAGTGATCAACAAAAGCAGACTTTTTGTAAAGATATGAGTATAAAGTTGAGTCGTCAGCAAGTAGAGCTACTATAAATATAATAATGTCAGGAAAATTTTTGAAACAATACTGGACCAAGGAGAAAACCTTGAGGTACCTCAGAATGTATGATGGAATCTTTCAGTCACAGCAGTTAGCAAGTCAGCTGTAGAGCAAGAAGATTGAAAACCATATTGATAGTCAGACAATAAATTATTTGACTCAAGATGATGATGATGATGATGATGGGGTGTTAAAAATTTGACTCAAGATGATGATGATGGGGTGTTAAAAATTTGACTCAAGATGATGATGATGGGGTGTTACAAATTTGACTCAAGATGATGATGATGGGGTGTTAAAAATTTAACTCAAGATGATGATGGTGATGAGGTGACTCAAGATGAGTTGGGGATGATGATGAGGTGTTAAAAATTTCTTGATTAAAGACTCAATCTTTTATTAGCAAAAGATTTTGCTAATAAAAGATAGAAGGCTGATTGGATGATAATTAGAAGGATCAAAATGTTCTCCAGAGTTTATAAAAATTGAAATCACAGATGCTAGTTTCCAGCAGGCAGGAAAAACAGATTCAGTCGAGCACTTATTATATAGTTTAAATAGAATTGAAGAGAATTCTTGTGAACACTTTTGTAGGACTATTACAGAAATGTTGTCTGTACCACAAGTCATAGAAGAGTGTCTAACAATCGGTTAACCTTTTTAATTGGAATGAGAGAAAGAGTATGTCCATTAGATACATTAGAATTGAATTAGAAGATAAATTCTTTGCAAATAGTTCTGCCTTTTTCTTGGGAGAAATAATAAGATTATTGCCATGAGTTAGAGATGGAATGTTGACCTTTGTTAATGACACTTTAGAAGATTTTTCAAAAGTCTCTAAAGCCTTCTGAGATAAGATAGGGGGTTTAATAAAATGGAAATAATGGAGCTAAGTATCAGAAAGCATTTTTTTGCATTAATTTCTTGCAATAATAATAAGTGTTTATTTTCAAGAGAGTTGTTCTTTTGAAAAATATGAAAAAATAATTATGAATAGGTATAGCAGCTGCACAAGAAGGTAAACCCATGGAGTAGAATAAGGTATGACTTGGAACCAATGAAGGGAAATAAAAGCTTCTATATCTGGCTAAATCCAGGAGGTTAGGTAGGAAGCCCATGCTATGATAGGGTGAGTCCAAAAAAGAAGAGCGAGATAAAAGATTTATAGAAATCATTGGATTGTCAAAACCACATAAAAGAGAACATGAAAAAACTGAACTTAGGCTAGGGTCAGAGAAAAGACAAAAATCAAAGACTGAAGTTAACTGATTGTGGTTGTCTGAAAAATGAGTCACAAAGTTAACTATGTATTATATTTAAAAATACAGAAGATATGGGCTTTAGTGCCAGCAGGGTCAGAGATGTTAGAACCAAGTCATTTAGCGTAATGAGCATTAAAGTCACCAATAACTACAATATTGGCAGAGGGATAAAGAAAAAGGGTATAGTTAATTTGATCATAGAGGGTATAGTATATTTGATCATAATTCTGCTAATTAACCCAAAGTGTAGGGCTTGCTTACTAAAAGCATTAACAGGGTCACCATCCATGCTCAACATGGAATTGTTAATACTTTGATATTTTACAGCTGTTGATGAAATCAGCCTCTCTGAGAGCTACCATAGAGTTCGGAAACCCTTTTACCAGCCTTACAACTATTAAACATTAGTTTTAGAGTTTTAAAACAGTACCTTTAGCCACTATCAAGAAGGCATGAAAATATATTAGTAGATCAGGACTCAATTTAATTTACAATGATATTCAATATTTTTAAAACCAATTGTGAATTGGTGTGTTCATTTTTAAATTGCACATGTTGCCATCTAGTAGGAAGTAGCAAAACTTAAGCATTACTTAAAATTAAAAAAAAGATAAAACAGGGTTTGACTTTTGAGTTTGAAGTTTCTGTTGCCAAATGGCAACATTGGGAGAGAAAGGGTTAAACTAAATCTTCCAATGATTCAATTGCTTTATTTTTTTTTTGTTTTTATTTTTACAAAGAATTGTTAAAAATTTTTTTTTTTAAATTTCACTTACTAAATGAAATAATTAAAAATTACGATTAAAAAAAAACTACATTATTTTTTTAAACAATTATTTTTGTGCAACTTTTTGAAAAAAATGTTTATACAACTTAAAAATATTATATTTTTTCTTTTCAGTAATTTAATTTCACTTTTCAATAATTTAAATAAAATTTATTCATTTATTAAACAATTATTAGAAGTAATTTGTAAAGGCGTTTTGCATAACTTTATTTAAACGTTTTAAAAGATAAGTTTTTTTCAAATGCAATTAAAAATGTAACAAAAGTAATTTTAACTTTGAATTTTTTTTAGTTTTATTTTAAAGCTATTTTCTTTTTTTTTTTGTTTTGGTTATTCTTTAGTTTTTTCAATTTTTCTCCTACTTTAAGTTTCTTTTTTCAATGCATTTCTGAAACGTTTAAATCATCAAAACATCTAAACAGTCGTGGTCAAGCTGTAAACAAAAAAAAAATCATTTAGGTGGTCAGCAATAGCATTCAATCGCACGCCATTCCTGTCCAAGCTTTATTTTAGAATTTAATTCCCATCGGTCAAAATGTCTGATTACTTTGCAAATTGATCAGATGATTTGAGGTTTTAGCCGGAAAATGTCTGATGTCCAACCGTTAAATTGAGCCCTGGTAGATTCAAGAAGATCCAGCCTTAATCATCCAAGGCAGAAAGTAATGTAACACAGGCTTACATCTATGTCAGCCTAATAGATAAGGAAATTGTGTAAAAAATTGTGATCAAAAGAAGTATTCTGCTTATCCCTAAAGATTTGGCCTAGAAAGCCTTCTACAAGAAACTAGCTGCCCAAGATGAGTCTTTTTATTGAGACATTATTTCAGCTTTTGTTCAACCTTTTCTCAACCTTTTCAGCCTTTACTCAACCAAGAGCCTTAAGGGAAGAGAATTTTAAGTTGGAGTTTATTTCTTCTTAGCTTTTGCATAAAAAAGCAAACTCTACAAGACAGCAGGAAATAAGGCAGGTAGTATCTGTGTTACAAGATACCAGTAACAGGGCAATGATCCTAAACCTGACCTGACCAGGAGTAGTTAAAAGAACTTACTTCCTATAAGCATTACTTTAAAATATGGAACATGATATCTTGGAAATGGATTAAGAAAAACAGTGCATCTACTGAAGTACTAGAAATTAAGGAGAGCATAAGTTTTATAGTTAGAGTCACTAGTTAGTAACTAAGCTCACCTAACAACAGAGATTTAGGCAGAACACAAGCAGACATACAGTAAATTATGGGTGAGCAAACGCTGTGTCATAGGTTCAGACAGAACAAAAACATATAGCAGCAACTTATGAGTGAATGAACATCTAGCCAGAGATTCAGACAGAATACGAACTTATAGGAAAGATAATAGATAAGAAAGCAAATCCTATAAGACAGCAGGAAATTGAACAGGTTGCACTGGATTACATGTTACCAGTAGCAGGGTGATCTTGATGACCACCTGACCTGATATGTAAGTTGTAATAAAATAACTCAAGTTATAATTATTAAAATATAAGTTAACAAATAAGACATTAAAAATAAAATGTTGTAAACAAAGTTTGTAAATTGACAGAAGAACATAAACCAATTATTGTTTATCATACCTAGGCTGAAGATTTTGATAGTGCTGGTGGTTTTCTTGGTAGCACCATGAAACGCTTAAACACATTAGTTTCATCATCTTCATCAAACCGAAAATTAATGTGTTATCTTATCATCATTTTAGTTGGCACTTTTTTTGTTCTGTATTTCATTACTGGGATACTAAGGAAGTAATGGTAAATATATTAATTATAGTTTTTGTTTATCATTTTTAATTTTACTAAAAAAAGAAAGACAAATGAACTAGTTTTTTTTACCAGCAAATTAGTGATTAAAGTTTTTTTTTTTTTGTGTGGTCATTTTTTACATGTGGCCAACAGGGTAACATAAATAAATATATGTATATGTATATATATATATATATATATATATATATATATATATATATATATATATATATATATATATATATATATATATATATATATATATATCCTTATAGTGCAGTCGAAAGAGACTTTTATGGTAAAAAAAAGTCTCTTTCGACTACAATTTTTATTACCTCGTCTCTTAAGCTGTATTTGATTGTCATCGAAATGTCAAAGCAATTAAATTAATTCGGAAGTACATTAAATTTTATTGTTTTTTAAAAAAACCGCAATAATAATGACTAGAAAGTTTTTTTTAATTAGTGGTGTTTTTGTTTTTGTTTTATTAAAAAACATTTTTAAAACATGCGTAAGTGTTGCCACATTGACTATCTTATAGCCTGCTGCTACAAGGGAGTGCTGCTACATCGACTGACAAATAGCCTGACTTGCAACGGAGTGCTGCTACATCGACTGACAAATAACCTGACTCGCGAGGGAGTGCTGCTACATCGACTGACAAATAGCCTGACTTGCAAGGGAGTGCTGCTACATTGACTGAGGGTTTGGTTTGGGCAGGCAGTCTTTCATTTAAAAAAAAAAAAACATTTTTAAAAGTTTTTTAGCATTTTCTGGTCATGCTTATTAATGCGCTTTTTAAAACAACAGTTTATGGGAAAAACTTTGTGACTAAATATATATATATATATATATATATATATATATATATATATATATATATATATATATATATATATATATATATATATATATATATATATATATATATATATATATATATATATATATATATATATATATATATATATATATATATATATAAAAGCTATGAATAAATTTTTTTCTAAAGACTATAAACTGACTTCAATTTTTTTTTCTAAATTTTATTGGAAAAGTTATCTCTTCTTTTCTGCTATTCTTGCTATTCTTGCCTACAATTGAATGTCTTTCCCAAAGTTTAGTATGTAGTCAGTGGGACATATAACACCCAAGTATAACAAAAAAAAAATGTTTTTTATAGTCTTTTTTAAAAACATTTTTTTTTTTTTATGGATACTATGGTTGGTACTAGTATAGTAAAATACATTAATTTAAGTTTTTGCATATATGGAGAAGGTACCTCACTTACCAATATTTTAAAAATACTTTTAGAGTGATTTTTGTAGCTTGATCTATCTTATTTTAGATGATTTGTTTTGTTTTTTTGTAAAGATGATGGGAATGTTTTGTCCTATCTTTAAGATTGTTGTATATTTTTCCGCAATTTGATTTATTTTTTTTGTGTGTGTAAATATAAATGTCAACAAGAAATAATTGCAAAACAAAATCTCATTATAAAGTTTATCTTGCTGAAAAGAGTTGAAGCAATCCCCATAGCACAATTGCCAAAGAAACTTTATTGTAAATTACTGTTTTAAAAATCTTATGCAGGGACAACTCGTTTTCTCCAAGGGCGACTGAAATTAAAAATAAAATACTTGTCAGTAGCCCGGCAGGACGACCAGAGAATTTGAAAAAGACGCGAAACAGGTATCGACTACGACAAAAATGATGGTTTTTAAAAATTGTATTTGTAATTATCTCTTTACCAATCTCTTTACCAATCTCTTCTCAATATCTCTTTGTAACAAAATTTACTTAATATTCTTTAACAGGTTATAGCTTTTCCCTTTTTTTTATTAATTAACTTACTATTAAATAAACAGTTCCTTATTAGACGTGTTTTAGTCATCAGACAATTATACCGGACTACTGATTATGATAGCGAACGACTCAAATGAGAAGTGAAAACTATTTCAGTCACCCGTAGGACGACTGGGAAAAAACCGAACTAATTTCAGGTGTACTGTTGTATTAAGAGTTGATTTTCCAAACAATTAATATAGCTTCATAATATAGCCTAATTTTTTTACTGCTCAATGTACTGAAATAGGACGTTGTTATTAGGTAAAAGTGATTACCAGCGGGTGTTTATTATATTATAGTTATTGTTAAATACATAAATTTGTTGTTATAGCTTATTAGTCTATAATTTAGTCCGAATTCAAGTTGTAATAAAATAATAATATATTCATTTATTTTATTAAAATTGTCTTGTTTTGAATTGCTATTGTTTTATTTTGGCTAATGTGAGCTCTAATGCAATGTAAGCTGTAACTAAAGATAAAAAGTAATTGATCAAATTTTAAGATGCTCAAAATTCAGATACATTAATGTGAATGTACAAGAATTGAAAAATTATTAAAATTCAGGTTTGATTTTCATTTTTTGATGTATGCCAACAGAAAACTACATTTCAAGATTCGAATGAACTGTTTTTAAGTGATGAAACTGAAGTTAAACACCAAATTATTGGACCTATTATAAAACAGAAAAATATTTAGATATACTATTTGATCTTACTATTGTTTGTTTTTAACAATTTTATGATTAATTCATTATTTTCTAATTGTTATATATAATTATATTGTTTGTACCTATGTTTTTTGAACAAATTTTTTTTATTGGGATTAAACCAATGTTTTTTTATTTGTAATTTTATTATATTTAAAAGGTACGAAAAGCTTCTACAGAGATTCCTTAAACAACTATTGGTTGTTAAAACCTTCAACAAACAAAGCAATAAGATTAGCGTGTCAAACTTGCAAGATATGATTGGTTGATATTCGATTGATATAAAAATTGAAATCAAGTTATGAAAATAACAAACATCTTAAAGAAATAAAACGATTTGAAAAATGAGAAATATACAAATCAAAGTTTTTTGTTTTTTTTTATTATCTTATATTTTTATTTAACGGCATGGTTCTGATTCAAATATTATATAACCTGTTAGTCAGGTTTTAACGCAATTATTTTATTTATTTTAATAATATTTTTTTATCATCAAGGTATAGAGTTATTTATTTGAATTGTAAATCAGATATTAGTTTAAGTTGTTAGTATACAAATGTTTAATAATATTATATTGAACCCATTTTTGTCGATTGTTGTTTTTGTCTATTAGTTTTTTGTTTCACTTTTTTCTTTTCTTCCAAATTTATTGAATTAAGGATAGTCCATAAATTACGCAAATGATAAATTTCCCGGCATTATAAAATAAAAATGTTTGTAGGGAAAAAACCCAGACCAAAGATTCTTTTTAAAAAAAAAAAAATTCTTCTTAAAATCACAATCGCTTGTCCAAAAAAAAATAAGATTTTAATCAAATACGTTTTTTAGGTGAAATGAACATCATAGTTTATTAATATGATCTGTTCTGATCGTTTATTGGCAATTTTTCTTAATTATAAGCTCTTTCTTGGTCGGATTTCTAGTATTTTTTTTTTTTGAAAATTGATAGAAATATTGTATTTTGACTACTATATATAATTAATATACGTGAAAACCAATTAGAACTAGGATCTATAGTGGTATAAGGCACTTTTTCAAAAGATTTCAACTAAGTTCTTATTAATGTCGATGAGCAAAAATGATCTAAAGACTTCAAAATGGTGTTCTTTAGATTCACTATTAGGGTTGTGAAAGTTTGCGTTACGTAATTTATGGACGATCCCTTAGCTACGATACTGATGATGCTAAAAAATGATAGTAATAAAGGTGAAGATTCTGGGTCCTCGTTTTTTCAGAAGAACCGCTGGTATATGTAGCCCCAAATTTTTTTAGTTTGTATTTTAGGCTTTCTCGTTTTGATTTGTTACCTAGATATTGTTTTTATGATTTTAGCTTGTTTTTTAAAAAAATATCTAATAAAAATAAGCAATAATTTTGGTGTAGCATAAATTTTGCTGTAGCGTAAAAGAGGGAGATTTCCTATAATTCTTAAAGGATCATTTTAGTTTTTTTATTTTTTTATTTTGTTAGTTTTATCTGTTTATAAAATTTCAGACTTGAAACAAGCATATCTCAGCTTCTATGAATTATTTTTGAATAAAATTTTCAGGGTTTGTTCATCTGTATATAAGTTAGTATGTAAATCAGAATCTATTTAATAAACAAAAACAATCCCATAATTCCTAAAATACTCAAGTATTTTAGAAACTATGGGATGGTTTTTGTTGAATTTTACCCTTTTTTAATTTCCCCAAATACGCAGAGCTGCCATAATGGATCTAAACATAATTATAACTTTTTACTGGTTTACATACTAATTTTATGTATTTCCTGCATGCAAACCAAACGTATTCAAAAATTGCAACAAAAATTAAAGCCAAAAAAAAAAAAAAAATAAAAATCGATGAAGGGGCAGCACAAGGCCTCCCTATTCTGACAGTCTTGTGCTGCATACAAAGCAGCTATAGTTATAAAATAGAATTATTGAAACAATTGACACTTTGCGCATCAATTGCCTTTTGCGGAAGAGCGTTCCAGTGACGCACAACTCGATAAAAAAAAATCATGCTAGATTGTAAACTAATCTTTTGCGTTTGTAACATCTAAAAATTGACCTCATCAATTTTTTAAGTAGTTTTAAATTATGTCTCCTTGCATTCCGTTATCTGCAAGTGCCGTTAAATCCAACATTTGCAATCTTTAAGCGTACGGTAAGTGCTTTATTAATGCAATCATTTTAATTCTTCATCCAGTGTTTCAATAACATGCTTTGAAAATGACGAACAGGTTTAAACCACGAACTCAATGCAAGTGTATAAAAGCCATATACAATAAGCACCGTACAACAATGCCCCAACTACGGAATGCTTTTTTCAACCTAAAAAGTACTTGATTGGCTGTTGAGGGTGCTATTTTGACTTAATTTTTTTAATTTTAAGTTGTCGCTAAGAGACGCCAAGGCTTTATTCGATCTTGGTAACTGCAAGTTGTATTCGAGATCCGTAATCGCTGCACATTTAGTGTTAATGTGTTGACCTTTTGGTTCTGCAACCTATGTGCATTACTTTGTATTTCATACGTTATACTCTGGAATGGTCCAGAGTATAGCGCATGCCTCGTTAAAAGACATGTGCTATTTTCTGCACCATTTTACGCCTCTGTATACCCTCTTGTCATAAAATTTGAAGAAGACATGTCATCTTGTAAGATTGACATGTCTTCTTCAGATTTGATTATGCTATGATTTTGCTATCATCCGATATCATATAATTGTGATGCAAAAGGTTGTCTGGAGGATCGTTGATAAAAAGGATAAATAATGATGGTTATAGAACCAATTATTGTAAAACTCAACTTGAGACAGATACTCAGTTGATATGTGCTCGTTTATGACTACCCTTTGTTGGCAATTTGATAGCCTTGCTTCGATCCCATTTCAGCAATGCAATATATATATATAAGAGCTCTCAGTTTGCGTAGCAAAATATTATCAAAACATTATCAAATATTTTGGGTTGCTATAGAGAAAATCTTTGTAATAGCTATGATTAGGTTCCATGTTTTTTTTTCTAATTTAATTTTTTAAAATTTGCATTAAAATTATAATTTAAATTATGACATAATTTTATTTAGATGAAATTGTAATAAAAAAATAAAATTATAATATAATTATACGAAAATTCATATTAAAATTATATTAAAATTTATATTCAAACTTTATTATTAATAATTAGATTTTATAGCTATGATTTAGCTGCATAGCGATAGAAAAAAAAAACGTAGATGAACGATATACATCCACGAATATTGAGATTTTGTGCAGTTAACATTAATAATATTGACGTTGTCAAACCCTTCACTTTTATTTATTTCCGAATTTACGAGACCGACTCATCCATTACATAGTGAACTTTTTTTTTTTTAAATAGGATTGGAGTGTTTTATTCCCAGTTTTTATAAATTTCTTTCTTATCAAATATTTCTTGGTTGATGTTTAGCTTTAATTTGAATGGCGGTGTTTTTCTGTAAAAGTGGTTAGAATAAAAAAAAAAATTTATTTGTCTTTTTAATCTTTCAAAACAATATTTATACTTTTTGTAATTAATTTCATTATTTTAAAGTTCTTTTTTTTTAAATTTTCGTACAAACTATGTTTTTTTCTAGATGATTTTCTAAAACCATTTGTTATCCACGGATTACTAAAGTTTATGGAATTAGTAGTTTTTTAAAATTTGGAAAGGATCTTTCGTATAAGTATTATTTTCGTAAAGAGTTTTCGCATAAGCTGTATGCATCATTAGCATTATTACAACTCAGTTAAAAGATTCCAATCGATTTCTGTTAATAATTCACAAAAATCTATGTTGCTGCATAAGATTTCCTCTTGGTCTTCTTTTCTCCATGGTTGTTAGATCCATTTCTTTTAGTCTTTCAAATGAAATCTTTTTAAATTGTGTGACTTTGTGTTGCTCTTCTTTGCACTTTCTCTAACTCATCAATATCCTTTTGTAAATAAGACTTCCATGCAAGTATAGCAAACTCAATAAGCGGTCTCACAAATTTTGTATATAACGATTTCACTGTTTCCACATCAAAGTATGTAAATGTACGTTTAATTAAACCAAAATTTCTTTGCGTTTTTGCAAATATATTGTCAAACACACTGTGTTAAATACAAAGTATATGTTTTATATATATTTTATGATAATAAATTTGATAAGATAATTTGGTGAAATAATTGTGATGTTGTAAGGAAACTCTCAGAAGACTTAAAGAAGTCTTGTCATCGAGAATCTTTGAGACATAAAATAAGTAAAAAATTAAAAAGCAAACTTGTTAAGTGACATTACTAGAGTAACACACATTAAAATATTGAGATACTAAAATTAGTTGGTGTTGTATAAGAATTTTGGATTTTATTATTTTTTCTTTTTCTTTTTCACTTTCTTGTCAAATATTTTTTTTTTTTAATTTTTTTGTTCTTTATTACATTTTAAAACATGACGTTACTATTTTATAAAGTTTACAAGCTAAAATAAAAAATATAAACAATTACTAGTAAAGATATTTAATATATATATATAAAAAGAACGCGAAAACTCGTAGAAGACCGTAAGGTCTTGTCGTCGAGTATCGCGGTAAAAAGACGTTGTTACATTTTTTACGTTGTTACATTTTAAGTTAAATATTTTACGTTGTAAATAAAAAAGTGTTATGCAATAGTAAAAGAATAACAAGATTTAAATTAAAAAACTACAAAAAAATAAAAAGGTCACAAAGAATTTCTTAAAGATAATTGGACAGATAGTATAATAGCAATATAGGCTTGAAGATCGTAAATAATTGAGTTACAAAACATATCAAGAAAAATCATACATCACAAATCATATAAACCGATATAAATAATAGATAAAAAGAATTTCAAAAGGTTTAAAAGTACATTTGTATATTGTCAATTTCAAAAACTACTTCTTTCATCTTTTTTTTAAAAAAATATGTTATTTAAAATTCCATTCAAAAGAAAAATCAAAGTTTATTTTATTTAAGACAGTTTTGTTGACAGTTATTCAAAATTCCATTCAAAAGAAAAATCAAAGTTTATTTTATTTAAGTTTTGTTCCAAAGATACGGTCTTCGAAATGATACGCAAAATTTACAATGATTAGTTTTTGAAAATGGTTGCATCAAAAAATCATCATTTCGTATATTATATTTATTTTTTTGTTTTGTTATAAATAAACTATGAAAAGGAGACGAGGATAATTTCGTTTTACATTTGAACATAAAACAAAGAATATTATATACGTTAAGTTGATATATGTTTAAAACATTCATTTTTCTTAAGAGAGGCTTTGAATGAGTTCGTCTATCACAAGAATTAACTAAACGTCCTATATGTTTCTGATGACGATGAAGAGGCTCTAGTTTACTTTTGTTAGTACTGCTCCACGCAATATTTGCATAGTTAACATGGGAGTGAATAAGTGAATAATATAGTTGCATTAAAGTGCGCCTGTTTAAATAGCTTTTTGATTTGTATAATATTCCAATACTTTTTGAAATTTTGTTGCTTAAATTTTCTATGTTTTACCAATATTTAAAAGAAATTTTAAATATTGGTAAAGAAGATATTAAAACAAAAGTAAGTTTA